GTAGCGTTTTACATCATACTAAGCACTCTGGATTCGGTTAGCAAACAGACGATCTGACGGTCGCCAAGTGACGATAAGAAGGCTGAACCCAGCTCACCAGCGATAATGTGTTCGGCCTGAACTTTGTATAACTTGACTCTGAAAATCCGTGGGTGTTCTTGTGCGTATGCGAATTAAGTCTTGTATGTCGCTCGAACCAAAATCCTGTCATCAAGTGAGACAAAATCCTGTCATGTTGAAAAGGTGGTTAAGGGTTGTATTTTAAAAAGTTATCACCCCTTGTACTCAAACAGAGCCTTACAGGCTATCTTATTGATGCGCTTATACCGAAGTGGTGAAATTATTCAACTCATACGAAAACTATTATACCTTTTGTGTCATTTGAGTTAATAGAACTCATTAGTCCACTCTTACAAGTAACTGTCAAGGATAGAGATTGTAGGGCTCGTCGTTCAATGAATAAAGAGCTTGGTACAGTTGAATGTTAGTTACATTTCTGGTGTATGCTCGCATCTGTTTTCTACAAGCAATCGAATTCGTTGCAATATTTCGAAAATTGCGTTCATTTCTACCTCAATATTACTATCAATATGCATTCTTTCACTGACAAACTAATGCGTGTCTGATTTAAAAAGATTGTACAATGCTGAGATATTTGCAAAACTCCGGACCGCAGGTGCTTGCGGTGGGGAACGAACACGCTATTGTCCTTTCCGGGTAGTAACGCGTTCACCACCACACCATGCGGGTCCTTCTTTTCGCGTGTCACTCAGCTATTATAGTAGGCAGAAAATAAAAAAGCATTGCAACGTGTAACCGTTTAAGCGAGACAGTTTCTAAATGCGTCACATTAATAGTTTCATGACAATGTCTTGCTGAATCGACGGTTGCGGTTAAACTGATCCCGGTTTCGCTTATCACACCATCACCTTTCATTTCATAAGCCTTTAAGATAGGAAGGAGGAGGGAAAAAGATTGTATTCGTTTTTTTGATGTATTCGCCTTTTTCAGAGCCGGACTGGTCCGAGTCGATTGTCCACAATGGTTCCTTTTTCCCGACAATGACTCGACGCCATCACGAAGACCTAAATCTGAAGGAGGAACAACTGTGGACAATCGACTGGGTCAATTCGGCTCTGAACAAGGTGAAGGCGCCGAAAGATTGGCCGAATAAAGTTTTTTTATGGACCTTATTTTAGTTTTTCAATGAAAGATTACGTGTTCATTCGAATTTTTCTTCAGTCTCTTTTCACGCCTTGATTGAATCAACTCCCAAAGATTTTTGTTTGCTTTCATTTCGTCGATTTCATGAACACTCCATGCAGCCACGAGGTCAGGTCGCACTTCCCCTTCATTTTTTATAGCTCGCTGAAACGATTTCAATGGAACCCATGCATTACTTTGCAGTCTTCGAAGTTATCCTGATGGCTACTGGTGGTTAAATGTTTACTGTTGTCCTATAATGGGTGTCATTTTTAAAGTTTGAGCCATTGAAGAAGTAATTGGCCTTCAAAAATCGGATCGGACAGAATTGCTTCATGTTTAAAAGCCGCTTTATTGCAGTTTTATGGTCGAGTTTTGAGACGACCGTATTCATCTTTACTGGGTGAATTAAAAATAATTGTGTAAACTATTTCTACGAAGTACAGTGGAAAACATAATATCGTAATCCTTGATCTTTGCAGCGAAATACGTTTGTTTTTCTCACTGATCGTCACCTTTATGTCGGATTTACTTGCTTCACAAAAATTAGATGAATTTCAAAGAACGATTAATAACAAAAAGCTGTGATTAGGTGGCTTCTCTAACCTGAAACTAGTAGTATTTCCTACGGCTTGTTTTTATTTGTTTTCATTTTCTGTTATTGCTGTTGAAATTCATTCAATAAAAGTGTTATGATTCCTTTCCCAAATGTTCGACAACAATTGGCTTCTTAATGACATTTGGTGGATGGCTGGGCGATGTGCCACCGAGAGTTAAATGTCCTGCTTTTTCTTTTCCAAAGTGCTTTCTCCCACAATGTTCTTTGAATTTATAACTTTATTAGACTCGTTTATAATTCGTGTTTCTTCTTCTTTGTGTTTTTTCTGTTAACGATTTCTTGTGTTATGAGTGTTTTACTTTCAAAAGTTTTCTAGTCGTCTTCAGTTACGCTTACATATTTTTTCTCTCCGAACCGTAGCTTCTTTTCTTCCTAAGCCACAACCCTATTTTCGCCCTTTTTCAGTTTTTGTTAAAGATTTCTTTGTGGAAGGAGACAGTTAGTTTACACGTTTAGGTTTCAATGACACATTCGTATGTACTTGTGCTCTTTTGCATATCTTTTTCCCTGAATAGCGTAGAAGGTGAGTGTTCCTTTCTTACTGTGTAATTTTGCGCCTTCTAGAAAAAGTGGACATATTGCTTTATGCTGACTTCTAGACCTCTTTTCGTTTCTCTGTAAGCAACAGCGATTCTTTATGAGACCAAAAAATTCGTGGGTATAGTTGACTTTTATGTCATACTCTGCCTGCATTTTATATTTTGTATATTAGCTTTCCCGTTTAAAAAACATTCCCACTTTATCAACGGTACATCAAATCAACCACTGTACGGTGCAAGTAAGTAAATATTATTGTGTCCAAATGTATCATCAACATTGTTACGTGTAGTCGAAGTTATAGAAGTTACAGTAAATTTTACGAACAATAAAATCACAAAATGTGGAAGATGCTGTGTTGTTGAGATCACTGTGTCATAGAAATTGTAGAAAAGCGTCGTTGTTTCAGAGATGTCACAGGAGAAGCCTTTAGATATTAATTCATCGGAATCAGAAGCTGAACACGCTACCGATTTATTTCATATCGACTTCAGTCATACCGGTCATCCACTTGCTATACTCACATCTATTCTCCTAATTTCTCTAATGAAGATAGGTATTCATTTTTGCTATTCTTTGTGAGCATTTTCAAATATACTGTCACTCTTAGTGTTCGGTGTGGTGCAGAAAACACAGTGGTTGCCGTGCAGTAATACAGACATGGTCGTTAATTCGACCTCGCGCATATTGTAAACTAAGCCACCACTCCGCCAGAGTCATAAATTTGATACTAGACTAGTCTGGAAAAAAAGCTTCATATTATTCATAAAAGCTAGCCACTCTCTGTGGCGAAGATTTGGGAACACTATAGAACCACCACAGGATTCCAAGAGAGTGAACTCAACCACCATTCAACGATATTCATGAAAAAGATAAAGTCCGGAAATGGAAGGTGAATTCATGCGCAAATTCAGAAACCTTTGCGAATGATAGATGCAGAACAACTAGCCAAACGAAAACGAAGTAGGATCTTATTATTAAAAAAATTGAAATTGAGAAAAAAGGAAAGTATTCAGCGGGATAACGTAAAGGAATATTCCATAGCATTCACAACGCAATTTATATTGATCATTAGAAATGATGGGAAAAATATGGATCGGTGATCGTTATTTTTCTTTTTGTACATTTTATGTTGTTCGGAAATTAATCTCTGTTTTGTGCTTTCATTTTTACTGCATGTTTTTTCGGCCATATTTTTCTCTCTTTCTCACTGTTATGGGTCATTGTAAAACTCATTTTATGCACTTTCGCCTAAGAAAGCTGAATCACTCCACCGAATTTACTTTCACAAAATCAAATTTGAACACAGTCTTACCAAACTGCTCAAAATACTAGTGAAGTAAAGTGTTAATGCGCCATTGCTTTGAAAAATTTCGTCGTGGTGAACCCGGCCTTGAAATTGAGGAAGGTCGGCGACGTCATTCTGCCATTGACTGTGATGAGTAAAAGGGCATAATGGAGAAAATGCACGCACAACTATTCTAAGCTTTACGCTGGAGCACTATGTAGGCATTTAAACTGTATCGGAGCACTTGAAGGAAGCTGGAAGGTCAAAGAGTTTCGACAAACCGGTGCTGCACTAATGCAATGACAATCTAAGAAGTAATCATTTTGAGGTATCGGCGGTGACTCTTTTGTTTCACAAGATCGACTCGCTTCTCGGCCGTATTGTGAGGTGCGACTGGAGAAGTATTCTCTTTGGCGACTAGCAGCGATTGGATCGGTGGTTGGATTGCGGGAAAGCTCCGTAGCATTTCCTGATGCCGAAACTGCAACGAAAGAAGATCATCTTGACCACCTAATGTTCTGCTGTTGGTTTAATTCACCACACCTTCCTGAACCTGTGTGGAACAATTACGAAGTAGGTCCAGCAATTCGACGCGGTGTGCCATAAATTTCAACGTATCCAGTTAGCATTGGACCCCGACAAGGGACCAATCCGTCTCCACAATGGCGCACGAACATTAGTCGCACTAGAAACCTAGCAAAGGTTGAACGACCCAGGCTACTAAACTCTACCTTGTTCACCACATTCGCTGTACTTGTCGTCTATCGGATACGACTTCCTCAAGCTTCTTGATAACTTGCTGTGTGACAAATGCTTCACCAACCAAGTCGAGGCTGCAACTTTCTGCAATGGCTTCATCGCCTCCATAAGACCAGAATTTTGTGTTACCGGCATAATCAAACATGCTTTTAGTTGGAAAAAATGTGTAGATCCTCAGATTTTTACTTCGGTTGATATAGTCTATTCTGAGCTGAGATATACTGGCTTAAATATACTGATCGGAGTTAGCCATTAATTTTCTGTCAACTTAATAACATATTCACTTTTTTGTATTTCATGAAACCATAGCGAGTAAGCGTCTGAAAGCTCGAAGTCCATGCAAAAAGAAGTTTGGGAAAAAAGAACTTTGCATTGGAGGCAGGATCTTTCTTTATTTTCAGTTCTCGCACGATTTCATCGGGTTCCACATTCAGTTCTCTTGCTGGTGTTTGGAATTATAATGGGTTTTTTCCTTTCACTAGTTTTCGAAGATGAAGTATGTAATCTAAACACCTCTATTGTTTTCATTAAAGAAATTCCTTACAGATTTTTTTGAGACCGTCGTGGTTCTTCATTTATTTGCTGCCCTTGATTATGCTGGAAGCTGGTTATTTTCTTAAAAATAAGCCATTTTTTCGAAATATTGGCACCATTTGCACATATGCCGTGATTGGAACGCTCTTCAACACAGCTTGCATAGGTATAGAATGCCTACTGTCATTGTTTTCGCTACTGCCAACATTTTCGCAATCACGAACGATCAAAATCCCCTCTACTGGGAACATCGAACATCGATAAGTGTCTATTTCCAAACCAGTGTAGTGACCAATCCTGGAAACTGTTCAAGTGAAGCTGAAATCTCATCATGAATAAAAATAAGGAAAATAAATGAGATTTTCCAGCTCTGATGTTGTTTATTCTTCGTGACATTCTCTCTGTGCCGCTCAGTTTTCTTGAGATCGCTGTTTTTGCGACGCTCATTAGTGCTGTCGATCCAGTAGCAGTGTTGTGTGTGTTTGAAGATATCCACGTGAACGATGTGCTGTACATTTGCGTTTTCGGTGAAAGCCTTCTCAACGACGCCGTTACCATTGTGAGTACAACAATTTTCATCTTTTTTCCACAATTATTCCATTACATTGAGTACATTATTTTTATTCATTATTCAGTTCAGCCTAATTCTTCATCACATCTGCAGTGCCGCTCCCAGCACTCCTTGCATTCGATTCCTTTTCCTCGCATTCATCGTCCACAAATTTCTTAGGACATTTCGTGTATTGTTTCGGCTGCTGCTTGAGGATTTCGTCTTCTTTATGAATGTTGTGTACTGTCGGTCGAGTCAGCTCTCCTTGCAATCTTGGAGATAGCCGAAGTGTACTGTTCCCACGTGGACTGGAAGAGTGTTGAGGAGGGGGTTGAACTAGCGCCTTGCTTCCCCATGGACTGCACCACTAACCACTGCACTACATTGCTTCCGTCAATTACATTAGTAGGCGGAAATCAACAATATAATGATGTAACGAAAAACATATACCAGCAACGAACGGCTTCGAAACTGTCTTGTGCTCATGTAGTTGAGCACAACGTCTACTTTTAACTCTAATAATGAGTGCTGTCAAATTAAGTACCCTATGGAAAAATAAGTTCATATGCAAACAAGAGTTTACTGCCTGATTTTGGTAAGATGATATTCCCGCCTATCTAACTATGACGTATAGCAAACGTTCATCTAGGCGGGGTCACACAAGAGGATAATACCTAGGTTATCATTGCAATCTGTGAAGTAAGCTAACCATTTCTAACCTAATCGGAACGAACGTAATAATCTAAGTGTATTAATTTTCGCAAGAAATTGATCTGTTGAAAACTTTAAACTAACAGATCTTAACTCATTGCGATGAAAATCAGTGGATTACACAAATCTTTGCCATGAAAGTGAAAAGTTTCCTATTCCGGCGCAAAAAAGTTCGCACTTTCTGAAGTCTACGAAGCGTTTTTTTATCACTTCTTATTTTCCTATCCTCGCTCATATTTTGAGCTCATCCATCCGTGTCGATGATTTCGTCCAATGCGTCATTGATGCTTACAGTTACCGCGTTTACGTTGAAAATTCTAAAAGCTTGCAAATCCCTCTTCTGTAAGTCTGTCGAGTGGTGGATTGGCTATGAACTCCAAGTTTTGGATTGTTAAGAAGTTTTCGAAAAACCAGTGCAGTCAAGAATTTTTTAGAAGCAAAAAAAGCTTCTGACACTAAGTCGCCCCAAGAAGTTACCGTAGCTTTAGGCGTTTCTTACAACTTCGGAAATTACTGCCCGAGGGCTTTTTTAGGTCCTGTACCAAACAATTACCAATATTCTTATTAGTGGTCCAGAACGTCTCGGTACATCTATGTACGCTCAGTCTATGGCCCAGTTCACAACCGTCGCCTTAGGAGGATGTGCAATGGGTGTTATCGGCGGGTTGAGCACAGCACTTATTATGAGGCAAGGTTTTATCCATCCATTAGATTTTACACAATTTTCTCTTTCATTTAGGCCAATTTTTTCGGATTATGTTTCAATATTTGCAGATTGCTTTCGAATCATCAGGCTGTTCTTCCTTTGATTATGGTATTGATGCCATGTTTCTTCTATCTTCTCACCGATTCCTTCCATCTTTCTGGAATTCTAGCGTTAGAACTGAAATCACCTTTCCTATTGAGCTCTGTATGGAACTTCAGATATTTTAAATTTAGAATTGTTACATGCGGAATCTTGGTGAAAAACTATATGCGTGGTAATTTGTGTGATGAGATGCACTTCACAGTCGAATACCTTTATAAAATGGCATCGTCATTGTGAGAGGAGTTTGCTTTACTTTATGTGTTCTTATAACATCTTACTGACGGTTGCACAGAAAAGATTTTCCTTCCACTTCCATGTGTTTGCTCATCTTTCTGATAAAATTGAAAACAATTATGTTTTGGAGCGTGATGAGAATGCATGGAATGCTTTTCAGTTCCGAAAGTTTCATTTTCGTGTTTTTGGGGGTGTCCGTGGTTTCCTCAAATCATGTTTTCAACATATGGTTCATCGTTGCGACTCTGGTGGGATGCTTCGTCTTCCGTTTCATAGGTAGTTCTCAGATTCTTATTCGACGGATATTTCGATCATAAACATGTGATCTGTAGCTTTTATATATTTGGCTAGGTTTAACATTTAAGATCCGATTTTGTTTTAATAATAATTTGAAAGAAAAAGATGCCTTTCATTTTTCTAACCGTGAAAACACAAACTATTTCAGTCATTTCAAAATCAGGCCAAATTGCTGTAGTTTCAAGGCTGAGCACTTGAGAGTTGTACCATGTATTCTAAAATCGGCTTGTAAAAATGCTCTCTACTTTTGTGTTTGCATTATTAAATGGTTATTAAAAATGCTAAACAACGTTCGACTTTTGTGTTTTGGTTTGATTTACCTAGGTGCAAGAGATCGTTTCTAGTTCAATTTGACTAACTGGTGATAAATATGTTTAGGTGTATATCTTCTCACATTCATCCTCAACAGGTTTCGCTTTGAGGATGATCGTATCTCATATGTGGACCAGTTTGTTTTGGCTTACGGTGGCATCCGAGGAGCTGTTTGTTACGGTAATGGCTGTACGTCTAGATATTCATGTAGTCCACCCATAGAAACATGTTGCTTGTTTGGTGGAACGATGCCTCTACAGAGGTAATCCGAGGCCTGAGTGCCATCTAAGTATTAAAGTTCGGTTGGCTAACAGCAGACCTCTCTGCGAAGAATAAATCTCCAATTTCTGCATCGAATGGGTCCTATTTTGAAAAATTCGTAATACTGCCGAAAAGTGGCAGAGTATCCTGGTGAAACTAATATACTCTTTATTCTTCCAAGATTATGTCATGAAAACAATGTTGATCATTATACGGGTGATTGCTGTGGCAAAAAGATCGATAGAAATAGCTGAGAGACGTGCGAAACAAAGGACCCGCATGGTGTGGTGGTGAACGCGTTACTCCCCGGAAAGGACAATAGCGCGTTCGTTCCCCACCATAGACACCTGCGGTCCAGAGTTTTGCAAATATCTCAGCAACGTTGTGGTTGTATTTCGCTTACTTAGTAACCTGCCATGAAAATTATAGAAGGCAGAAAACAAAACGTTAAACATTATACTCTAGCTTCAAACACGCATATCTTTGCCATACCAAGCTTTGCTAATCCGAATGAAGAGCTACTAGAATTGGCGAGAGGTTGCTTTAGCAAGGTATTTGCCAAGAAGATGCAATTTTATTTCTTCCACTGTGGTAAAATTGTAGGATTCTGGTATCTACGGTTCTTGTTGGGGCATTTCCATCAACAACTTCATTATTTAAAATTTCTCTTCCGAAGGAGTTATCCAAGTGCTTGAAAACTTGTCTGGGCATATGGTTGACAAGAAACCCGGTGACTACGCTGGAAGAGTTAAATTTTCGTATTCAAGTTACTTCAATTTTCACAGTGTTGCTTGTGTATCTTCCGATCGTACGTACCATTTGGTAAGGTTGGTCTCCCTGAATTAATTCATGCCGTTCGCAAACGTCGTAATCCTTTGTGCGTTTTCTCAATTCGTTGTCAATACTTATTGTTCTAATGGTCTAGCAAGAGCTCACGAAATCGTGGTGGTTGATTGCATCTGTTGAGTGTTAAAGGTCAGCTTAACCTAATGCTAATAGAAACTTGTTTTCGAGAAGTGTTTCCGTGCTTCACCTTTGTCCAACATCCTGCGGTTAGTCATCGGTTGTTGCACAAAATATTCGCCGTTCATTAACAAAAGTTGTCTACAGCTAGTTCTTACGCAAGCTCTCTGAGCCAGCTTAGATGAATGTGTTCTGTCTAACATCTTCAACTGATTATCGATGTCGGGAACAAGATCGTCTCTGATTTTCCTTTTTCCTACGTCCTTCATTTGTTCGACGGCACTTTTAAAACCAACGTTGCACCCTGCGACTGTTAATGACGAAATCCTGGTCATGTCCAAAATTGACATTTTGTTTCTTTTTCGCGAGCCGATTTCAACTTTAAACCAACATATCTCGGCTCATTGTAAACTTTATTGTTGTAATTTGAATAGAAACGACTAGGATATACACTACGAGATTACTTCTTTTCCAAGTGCTTTGGCTCAAGGGTCGGACACTCGACGCCGAATTGATTGAACAATGGGAGTCTCGTTTAAAAAGGACATGATGGTGTGTATTCCGAATTGCATCAATGACAGCTTTGCTGCTGCTATTTCTAAGCGAATATATAATTGAGAGAATATTTCACAAAAAATTTGTGTACTCTTAGGGCGATAGAGTTTCTTATACAAACATTATTTCCTACATTATTGGATTAATGGAAAAATTATTGTTTGTTGTTGAAAAACCAATACGGTAGCGAATGTGTTAAAATAGCTTAATATATCAACATAGAGTATGAACTCAACTTGAATAATGCTTTAAATTTAAATGTCAAAGTTTAGAAAGAGAAAGCCGACTTTATTTCTGGAATCACGTGAGGATTCTAGTACTTTTCTTTGGGACCTTATCGATTTTGGATTGCAGAACTTGTAGTGATCTCTGTAGGTCTTGTAACGTCTATCGACGAGAATTTAATTCCTGCGAAGCGGATGTTCGTCACTACGACGCTTGCTGTGATCATGTTCACTACAATCATACAAGTGGGAATTTCAAGCGACCGCTTTCGTAACCATTCGTTTCCTGGCTTCACATTCTTAGGGAGTTTTCACGCTTTCAGCTATATTTATGAACTGCTGCATCCTTATGATTGATCTCTGAAATTTAAGAAATTATCAAAAATTTCAGGGTACCACTATCAAATTTATCGTCAATTTACTGAAAGTAAAAAGAAGGAAAAATCCCGAGGAAAAACGGCGCGTATTCGACTATTTGGCTAACGAAGTGACGAAACATGTTATTGACTTCATTGAGAACCTGACAAATCTGCACGGCGAAAACGTTGTGAGTAAAAATCTCCTCGTTCTTTCATCATAGAACACTTTAAAATTTGTAGTTTTCGGCTATCAAGTTCTTATTACTCAAAAAGAGATTACATATCTTCAGGTCTACCGTAAAATTTTGGAATTTGATCAGAATGTTTTGAAACCGAAATTGGTCGCCTACTATAGACCTCGCAATGCAAACATCATTGACCGTCACATGGAGATCGAACTCAATGAATTCGCCATGTCCGTCAAGCGAGGTTGCTTAACTACTAACACTAGTTTGCTTTTAGCCCAAAGTTGCTGCATATTTCAAAATCTATAGGCGATCATTGAAGCTTTTAACAAAGATTCGAATAAAACGCATTCTCCAGTTACTTATTTCCCTCCATTTCAATATGTTGTATTTGTTCGCAACCACTTTAGTCACTTAATCGATCTGAAGACTTTAGGCTATTCGCTAGTATTACCTGTATCACCTGTTCGCCTGGTGTTCGTCGAATGACTCGAGCGGGCACCACTAAATCTTCCACTTTTCTCTGTCGCGTATAGGAGCAGCCCAGTGGCATCTACTCACTCTAGGGACTCGTTGAGCATCATACCTTTCTTCCAGACTTTTCATGAAGAACGCTGACCATCGAGTCGGTGTTCTACCTGCAGTACGTTTGACCTCCAGAGGAAATTTTTGATCGTTGACATAGATCGGAGCTTCAGATCCTTTCCCTCACTTGCTTGATATGTGATACCTGTAGCATCGTCCTTTTGGAGGCACAATCAATAACGTTGAATGACCATTCATTCTGTTTACGGGCCGATCAGGTTTCAGACGCATACTTTAAGGCAGGAAGTGTCGTTGAGTCAAATGGGTGGGCACAGAGTCAGATGTTCTTTGTTTTTTTTACTACATTCTCGATGTTCTTGAAAGCTCCAAAAGGCGCTCGTCTGCTCCCGCTCAGCTCTGGAACTAAGTCGTTCATCGTGTTGATTTCCCGATCTAGGTAGAATTAGCTGGTGCATCAGTGATATTCGTTCCATTGATTGGTAGCGGGACATACGAAACCAATTCGTTCCTAATGAACGTCGTTTTTTGTTAGATTTTGTCGAAGACCATCCTTTCCACGGGCGCTATCAAAGTCAGTAAACATCTGTTCCGCTTGACAAATGCTGTGTTGCAAAAACGATGTCATCAGCAAAGGAAGGATGCTGTAACTGCCCAGCATTGATTTCAGTCCAATGTTGTTCCATGCCAATGTTCGCATGACATTATCGAAAGTGGAGGTAAACAATTTTGGCGAGAGGGTATCGCTTTACCGAACCCCTTCTTTGCCGTCGATGTTAATATCGTTGTAGAATGGTGATATATCTTGGTCATGAAATTTCTATGCAGCCCATACACCTTTTGCTATTGTTCAAGAAGGGTGACCTCTACGATATCAGCAACTATAGTCCAGTCTACTTGCTTTCTATCGTCTACAAACTTTTCACTCGAGTCATCTTAAACAGGATTGACACAACACTGGACGAAGGGCAGCCATGCGAGCAAGCAGGGTTTCGAAAGGGATTCATCACGATGGACCACATCCACGTGATAACAAGACACATTGGGTTCTGCTGAGACTGGAGCGATCATGGAAGTCCTGGGCGGCCAGGGCTTCCCTAGTCAGTATACGAAGATGTATCGAAGAGTCCGAGTCGCAGAAGTTACGGTTAATCGAGCGCCTGTTTATGTTCGCACTTGCAAATAGCGCAATCAGAAATCAGGCTATGAAAGAAATTCGTGAATTAAGCAGGGCAACAGTTGTGGTGTAACCTGCAGAGACTGGAAGAAGCAATCGCAAAGTCCGTCGAAACCTCGCCAATTGAAAAACCGAAGTCTGTACCTTGACGTCCAGACGGAAGAGTTACAGCTTTCAGAAAGGAAATGGGGAAAATCATTCACATTTACTACTCGTGTCTCTTCATTTGCCCCGTTCTTCTGCCCTTATTTGAAATAAAGGAGAATGGATTTGGTGAAGAATCGAGCAACGCCAGGTCCAGATAGAATAATATAAGCACACCTGAGGTACCTTCTGCTAGTTCTCATAAATCACTAATTCAGGTCTTCATATGTTCACTGTTTGAATGCAAGGTGCCTACTCAATGAGAGACCAACAAGACTGTGCTATTGTTCAATTTTTATGCAGCTCGTACATGGACAACCGGAAGAGGAAAGCGATGGTCTGATCCCATGTAGAATTTCGGAACAACAGTGGCATTGGTAGGCTAAAACCTTCGATTTACTGTGATGTGGTCTACTTCGTCATTGTACTATTCACTGAGAGATTCCTTCGTCGAGAATTGAGGTGAGATTTCCGCATTTGCGAGTTTCCATGAATGGTCTTGGTTGTCATGATAAACTCAGACATCCGCTCGTCCTACCCTACTCGTTCCATTCTAATCCACTGCTCCAAATGTTAAATTCTTCAGACACTCTTCTGGGTCCAATCATAGCGTTAAATTCTCCAATTATAGCTTTAAAGAATGTGTGGTCTTCTCTGTAGAACTCCGCCAAGTATGTATAGAACGCTTCAACTTCTTCTTCGTCATAGTTTGAAGTCGGCGCATAAATGACGAAGGTTGTCAAAGCCGGTGTTGATCCACATCTCCTCAGTCGTATATGTCCAATTTGGATTGTTAGTTGTTTGAATGAAGTGATGTTCATGACCACATAACCAAACTCGTGTTGCTGAGAATGCCGACGCAGTCGACTCCCCTACCGTCGCATGCTCCAAGGAACAGTTCTTCTCCGGTGTCGTAGACGGCGCTGAATGGGTGATCTTGTTTCGCCTTGGCCAAGCCGATAACGTCGCACCTTATCCTTGTTGCTTGCGTGATCAAGTTTTCTGTCGAGGAATCAGATTCGAGTATGCGTGCATTGTAGGTACACGTCGTCGCCTTAAACCTTTGTGCGGTTTAGGCAGCCTAGAACGACGCTGAGGTTTTAGCAGCCTCTTAATTTTCGGCCTACCTAACGCTGCCGAATTAGGGGCTCTTTCATGGTTAGGAGAATGAGGCTCGTTTCTTTTAGTACGTTCAGCTTTTTGATACCCAAGTATTGCTTGCTGGGTTCTGAACATGGAGCTGGGAATGCTCACAGGTAGCTTGTCATTTTCTTCCAGAGTAGACGAGGATCTTATTTGTTGCAGGTGGCTCCTAACTGCCTTCCATATAACTTACCTGGCACTTGGTTGTGAGCTTTTGGCCGAATTGACTTGTAGAATAGAATCCGCATAATCGAGAAAACATCCACGCACGCATATATGAAGACGCCTTCGTAATTACAGAAAGTAGGTGCCAAATCGGTGCAGGAGGAACAGGAAGTGGATCCATTGGATCCACCTATGTATCACGGAAGTAAAGGTTGCTTTTGGTCAGCGATTAATCTCCTGTTCGCCACCTGGGAATGCGTTGCGCTACGTACCCTCGCGACTAACCGACTTGATCCCTCATATGAGGAAGATCCGTGGATTCGTTAGTATATATATATATATATATATATGTATATATGTATATATATAATGTAAACGCATAAAGGAAATGTCCGCTAAATATAGCTACTGTATGAGAAACACTTATGTGCATCTACAACTGTGTTCAATTATTGATGAAAATTATCATCGCCATGATCAGGAATTCTTGCAGCATTTGTGAGACATAGGAGCGGTTGGGAATGTTTACTTCCAAAGCTTATTAGATTTCTACTATGGGCCAAAATACGTGCTCACTTGAGTGATGACTAATAATTCCTTATCAAGCTGATGGTCATAAGTCCTTACGGTCATCCGCATTATGCACATTGTTTTAATACAAGAACAAACCATTTGGATACTTATACATATATATGTATATATATTTATTTATTATAAAGCCGAACTCTCACACTAGATGGCGAAGCGCAAAATTTCAAGGATGCATCGCGCAAAGGTGTTCAACTCACTTGCAAGAGCGGAACTAAATTGCAGTAGAGGATATTTCCTATAAAGAAGCTGATATACAGTTTATCCCCAGTATCGCCTATGTTTACACAAAGTCACTTCCTATGTGAAAACGTCGCCTGTTGACTATTTTTTCCGAGTAGAAAATTCAAGGTCTTCGCTAAAGTGTGTCGCGCCATCTGCCAACAGCCCGCCAATAGGACCTCTTGCTGTCTTGTTCCTTCAGTCTTGCTTTTTAGAGTAAGAAGTACCATAGGAGCAAGGTTTATCTGCTTTGCAGAAAGCGGAGTTTGGCGTAATAAACTAAAAATCACCGGAGTGCCGTCTATTCGATGTCGAACGCAAACTATGATGAAGAGACAGAGAGTGCAGCGCTGAAGTTTCAGGTGTCAAAACACAAGCATCAGTTTTCACAGATCTACTTCAAGGATTTCAAAGTCAGAAGTAGTGCTGTCAAACGAGCGGAAACGTTGAGCAGGTATGGCAAAGAAGTGTTGGCGAATGCACAGTGGAATGTTGTTCTGAAAATTTTCGTCGTGACGAATTCGATGTTGAAGACAACGATGATAGCTGACGTTCTTCTGCTATTAACGGAAATCATTTTGAGGCTTTGGTGGAAGGAAATACATGCGCAATAGTACACTGTTTTCTTGATGAACAACCGCAAGGTTGTTAACAGAAAGACTTATGTAGTACGACACTGGCTGACATTTCGTCAGTTTCACGTTCTTCAGGGCTCATTGTTGTTTTTAAGTCCTCCAGTTTTCATCGATGACGAACCGCATAGAGTCCTACATGGTTGAGAAATGTCTTTCCCATAAGTTCACAATACACGTATAACTGTTCGAGAAGTTGCAGAACAACTCTAAGCACACACTGAAATGGATTGGAAGCAGCCGTGGGCAACTGGAAACTCGAGGAAACTCTACAAATGGATCACGCTCGAATTGAGCAACGATCACTGAAGTTATCGTTTTGAGATAACGTCAGAGCTACTTTTGCGTAACCAGGACGATCTGTTTCTGGGCTGTTTTGAGACATGCAACTAAAAATGGATCGTATACGACCGCTGGTGGCT